TTGGAATTGACATTGATTTATTAAAGGCTTTTGAATTGTACAAAATTGCCGCTAAAAAAGGATATCGTATAGCACAGAAAATTCTTGCAACTTTATATGAAAATGGGAAAGGTACAGAAAAAGATTTAGATAAATCATATTACTGGTTTAATAAAGCAGAAGAAAAAGATAATGTAGTGGCACAATATAATTTAGGTAATTGTTATAAAAATGGAAGAGGTATTATAAAAGATGAAGTTAGGGCATTTAAATATTATAAAAAATCGGCTAAGAAAGGATATTTAGAATCTCAATTTGAGTTAGGATTTTGTTATGAAAAAGGAATTGGAATTGAAGTTAATGAAAAAAGTGCAATTGAATCATATGAAATTGCAGCAGAAAATGGGCATATAATTGCACAATGTAATCTTGGAATTTTATATGAAAATTTCGAAAAAAATTTCGAAAAAGCTATTTATTGGTATAATAAGGCAGCAAAAAATGGGTCTGAAGTAGCACTATATAATTTAGGCAATTGTTATAAATGTGGTATAGGTGTGACTGTGGATGAAAGAAAAGCTTTTAAATATTATTATAAATCAGCTAAAAATGAATTTAGAGATGCAATATACCAACTTGGATATTGTTATGAAAAAGGAATTGGAATTCGTATTAATATATTAAAATCATTTGAGTTATATAAAAAAGCAGCTGAAAAAGGATGTAAATTTGCACAAAGTAATCTTGGAATTTCTTATGAAAATGGTAAAGGAACAGAAAAAAATTTCGAACAAGCCGTTTATTGGTACAACAAAGCTGCAGAAAATGGGTGTGAAATAGCACAATATAATTTGGGTAATTGTTATAAAAATGGTAAGGGCGTAGAAAAAGATGAGGAAAAAGCTTTTGAGTATTATAACGAATCAGCTAATCAAGAGTATTTATCTGCCAAATTTGAACTTGGATATTGTTATTATAAAGGAATTGGAACAGAAATTGACAAAACAAAAGCATTTGAGCTATATAAAGACGCAGCTGAAAACAAGTGTGTTATTGCACAAAGTTATCTTGGAATTTTGTATGAAAATGGGGAAGGCACAGAAGTAAATTTGAAAAAGGCTATTTATTGGTACAATAGAGCAGCAGAAAATGGATGTAAAATAGCACAATATAATTTGGGTAATTGTTATAAAGTTGGTAAAGGTATAAAAAAAGATGATGTTAAAGCTTTTATGCATTTTAGAACGTCTGCCAATCAAGGTCATGTTGATGCTTTATTTGAATTTGGTCGTTGCTATAATAATGGAATAGGAACTTATATTGATAAAGCAAAAGCATTTGAATTATATAAAACAGCGGCCAAAAAAGGATCTCGTTTTGCACAAAATGAACTTGGAACTTTGTATAAGAATGGTAAAGGAATAGAAAAGGATTTAAAAGAGGCAATTTTCTGGTATAAAAAAGCATCAAAAAATGGTTGTAAAGTCGCACAATATAATTTAGGTAATTGTTATAATTATGGGGTCGGTGTTAAAAAAAGTGAAATTAAGGCATTTGAATATTATAAAAAATCATCTGACCAAGACTATTTTGATGCACAAGTAAAACTTAAATGTTTTTATGATTATGGGCCCAAACGCGATAAAATAAAATCGGTTGAATTAAATAAAATCTTAGCTGAAAAGGGGAATGGTTTTGTTCAATGCATTGCTCAATACGATCTTGGGGTTGCATATCAATATGGTGATGGTATCATAAAAGATGAGAAAAAAGCTTTTGAATATTATGAGAAATCAGCTAATCAAGAATATCTGTATGCTCAATATCAACTTGCATGTTGTTATAATGAAGGAATTGGAATTGAAGTTGATAAAACAAAAGCATTTGAATTATATAGGATTGTTTCTAAAAAGGGATATTGTATTGCACAAAGTAAACTTGGAATTTTGTATGAAAATGGTGAAGGTACAGAAAAAAATTTGGATAAGGCTTTATTCTGGTATAAAAAAGGAGGAGCATATTATAATTTAGGTAATTGCTATAAAAACGGTAAAGGTGTGAAAAAAGATAAATATAAAGCCTTTCAATATTATATGTTGTCATACCATTATAATTTAAATAATATCGCAGATGCTGAATTTGAGCTTGGATGTTGCTACTTAAATGGAATTGGAACTAATATTGATGAGGCAAGAGCATTTGAATTTTATGAAAGTGCGGCTAATAGAGAACATCATATTGCGCAATATGAACTTGGAAATTTATATATTCATGGAATAGGGACAGAAAAAGATTTAGAGAAGGCTATCTACTGGTATAATAAAGCAGCAGAAAATGGATATGAATTAGCGTCATATAAATTGGGCAATATCTGTAAATTCGGGATCGAAGTTGAAAAAAATGAAATCATGGCATTTAATTATTATAAAAAGTCAGCCGATAAAGGATATTTAGATGGCCAGTTTGAGCTTGGATGTTGTTATTCTAATGGAATTGGGACTGATATTAATAAGGAAAAGGCATACGAATTATTTAAAATGGCAGCTAAAAGAGGACATCGTATTGCACAAAATGAACTTGGAAATCTATATATTCATGGTATAGGTACAGACAAAAGTTTAGTAAAAGCCATTTACTGGTATGATAAATCAGCAGAAAAAAATTATGAAATAGCGCAATATAATTTAGGGCATTGTTACCAATATGGTATAGGTGTTAAAGAAGATGAGACCAAAGCTTTTAAATTATACAAGACATCTGCTGAAAAAGGATATGTAGATGCACAAAATGATCTTGGAAAATTATATATTATGGCGAAAGAAGTTAAGAAGGACTTTAAGAAAGCTTTTTACTGGTTCCAAAAAGCTGCTATTAATGAAAATGAAATTGCATATGATAATTTAGGTACATGCTATGAATTAGGAATAGGTACTGATAAAGATGAATCTAAGGCATTTGAGTTTTATGAAAAATCCGCTGAAAAAGGGCATGTAAATGCAAAATTTCATCTTGGATATTGTTATGTAAATGGAATTGGAATTAAACCAAATAAGAAAAAAGGAATTGAATTATATAATGAAGCAACGGAGGAAGGAATTAGTGATACAATGTTCAATCATAGATCGTTTTATGAAAGCAAAGAAGAGATAATAAAGAATTTAAATGAGGTCAAATACTGGTATCAAAAGTCAGTAGAAAATGATGGTGGTATAGCATTATATAGATTAGGGAAATTTTATGAATTAGGAAAATCTGTCAAAAAAAATGAAATTAGAGCGTTCAACTATTATAAACAAGCAGTTGAAAGAGGATGTATAGATGGAAAATATAAACTGGGATATTATTTTTTTCACGGAATCATAGTTGATATTGATGAAGTAAAGGCCTATAATCTATATAAAGAAGCAGCCGTAGGGGGAAACGTTGATGCACAAAGATGTATTACATTGTTTTATAAACAGATTGAGGAATAGAGAAAACAATAATTTTAATCATTTTTATAAAAAAAAATTTAGATAATATAATAGATGTTTTTAGAATTTACAGTAGATTTTGATTTATTTTTTTTATTTTCGTTATTTTTTTGTATTCTATTTGAAAAATAACTAATATATAATTTATATATAATCTCATTTTTTATAATTAATAAAAAGTTTCTTTAAAACAATTTAAGAATTAAATTTAAATTTTTCAGGTTAGACTGACATAAGTTATCCTAATATATATGTTGTACCAGACGCGCACGCGTCAGGTGTTGATTAGGGATCAAATAAGTGTGTGAAGATTCTTTTTAACGAAAAGTAATTCTGGTTGCGGACTGGGCTGGGTTACAACTTATTTGTAATAAATTATTTTTATTAAATTCATAAATAATGGTTGTTTAACCTGACTTTTCTTACCAAATTTAATTATCTAAACAGTGAACGGATTTTATAATTTTATAAAACTTCATACTTATTAATTTCTCTACATAGTGATTAAAAATAAATATTAGTCACGTGACCAAGCAACGTAATTTATGATTTTGAAAAAGTTTCACGAAGATTGTTTATGAAATTAAGACCTTCTATAAAAAGATTCATTTAATTTTCGTTGATTGATCATTTAGGGATAAAAATGAATCTATCTAAAGTAAAAAGAATGGAACCATTTATACCGGCAAGTGAGAATTTCTGAGTAGTCATATGTTGTAAAGTACGTCCGTCTAATTAATTACTGTATTAGGATTCAATAAATATCTTTCTATGATATCATTGTTCTAAAAAGGTGAAGTACTTGTTGCTTTGTTTTCATTATAATTAATTTATAAACAATAGCTTCTTTTTCATTATACAAATACGGAGTTTTTGTTATTCCCCCTTACTGTACATATGTACCATCTTGTGACACCTTGTTATTATGCTGATCACATATGGGCAGGACCGCTGACTCATATGATTTTACATTTGTAATTTTTATACCGAAATGGATATTCATTTTTTAACCTGTTTAATTTATATTTTTGTTTTTGTTAAAAAAAAGTATTATACAATTACATATTAGATCCGGTTAATGTTGATTCTTTTTATAAAAAAAAAAAGTTTTTATCAAATTAAAAATAATGCTCATGAGTCTAATAAATGCAATTTGATCCAAGTTCAATATGATTTAACTTGATAATTCATAAATCACATTTTCACACGCACAAAAAAAAAAAAAAAAAAAAAAAAAAAAACAAAATATTCCAGCTCTGGAAAAAACTTACATAATAAATACATATTATCAAGTTAATCATTCACTCGTCTACAACAAATTTCAAAATTATATATAAAGAACCGATTATCCAGCTGCTAAAAAAAAAAAAAAATTTTTTTTTTTTACAAGCAACCTAAATTTTGTATTTTTATTTATCTTAAATAACAAAAAAAGAATTCTCTTCATTAAACTTTAAGATATGGAAGACCCCGATTTTCAGCTCGTAAAAGAGCAGGTATTGGTATATAGAAAGACATATAAGATTTCGAACAAACTTATTTGAAGTGCAAGGAGTGGATATTTCATATTACGATGTAACGATAACACCTAAGGTCCCTCTGCGATTAAATAGGAAGGTATTTAATCGTTTTGTGGAACAAAATCGAGATGGAGCTCTTGGGGGTGCAAGACCGGTATTCGATGATATGTATTCAATAACGAAAAAAAAAATATTTTCGTTTACTAATATCAAATATTGAATAAAACAAACCGAAAGGTTACTATGTAATTTATATAAATATAACTTCAACAAGATATCAAGATATCAAAATTGTATTACATAATCCTTTCCTTAGAACAATCAATGCAGCATGATTTTTAAATATACGTTTGTACTTTAAAAGATACTAACTAATTGAAAATATTGGTAGGAAGAGCGAATATGTTTGCACATAAGCAATTGCGATTTGAGGATGATAGTTTTGACGTAAAATATCATTTTTTTTTTCTTTTTCGAAATTAAGAAAAAAATTTATTAAGTTCAATTATCATAATTAGGTGGAATTAGAGGAAGAAGATACGCCCGTGAGTAGAACACGACCGCCTCAAAGATTCAGAATTAAAATAAAAAAAAACTAGAGATATTGTTATAAGGGAACTATTCCAATTTTTAAATGCAAGAGACGATATGACAAATAATTGCCTAATGGGTAATTTATTTTTTACTTCATTATCTTTCCTTAATGATCAAATTTAATCTCACAATGGATTATAATCTTATTTATGTAATAAGCAACAATGGCAATGGACATTATTATTGGACACAAGATTTCTGCAACACATCAACTACCCCAAGAACACCACCAAAAAATTATCGGTAACGTGACTTGTACTACTAATCTAAAAATCGATGAAAAGTAATGTTTTTTACAATTCTTACTTCTCACCCCAACTGTTTTATATTTGCGTGTTTTTTCCAGTAATTTAACCTTGAAATATATATATTTATTCTCTTTTATTATAATTTATTCTATTCTATTTTCTTAATCTTATTGTATTTTATTTTGTTGTGAAAATAAAAACGCTTTTTTTTATATTAAATACAAAATTTATTTACAACCTTGGGAATATAAAGGTGAAACTATCAAGTTTTGAATAATAATAAGACTTTTCCATTTAATACATTATAAAAATTATCTTTTTATTACTATTATTAAATTATATAAATAACACGAAGACCTACTGTTAAATTTTTAAAATAATAAATAATTTATTCACTTATTTTAATAAAAAAAAACAAATAATAAATTTTATAAAGTGAAAAGGATTAGAATGCTATAGTCATATCTTGTCGCATCACAGAAAAATTTATTTCAATCTTCAACCACTCTAATAATTCAATTACCTTAATTGTACTTTCATTTTTAAAAATATTCTTATCAAACTCAACAATAGATAAAAATGATAAATGCATTGAAAAGGTGTAATCTTATATTTGGTGTAGGTGAATAATTATGATTCTTGAAAGATGACGAAGCCGTCCTATAAGATGGATGTCGGTTTCTTCAGAGGAAGAAGGAATTGATTTCACAAAATCACATTTAGCAACAAAATAGCAACGAATTTGGGTATTCACGGAAGGTGTTACATTTCCATGAGAACGATAAGATTCCAAACGATAAGCATTAGTAGTATTGCTAACATCTAAATATTTAAGATCGATGCTAAAATAAATTAAAATATGAAGTATTAGAATACTGAAGTTTAACAAAGATTAAATTAAATCATAATAAATATCTTCTTTCGTGTTGAGAGCCAGTTAATTGAGAAATACCAAGACGAGATGTATGTATATATACTGCGGAGTCATCAGTTTCCCTTCTAAATTGATATCAAGTTCACTTTGTTGATTTTCGTATAATCATAAATATTTGCAACATACAAGGTCAAAATATGGTTCGCAATAGTGCTCCGCAAAATTCGGGTCTAACCCGGATAATTCAATCCGAGTAAATTTTAAATCGGGTCGGTACTAACAATTTTAATAACCCGTGACCCGCATGACCCGACCCGTCGGGTCGGGTCATTCATTTCCTTGACTCGAGTTTTGACCCGAATTAGACCCGGATGATCATTAAAATCACTGATCACATATCGATTACGCATTAATATTGATTACGTTATATAATTTTGTTAGATAAATGAGGTAGTATATCCTCACTTAGCGAAAATTGCTAGAGACACCTCGCAATTTTGGGTATGTGTATAAATTATTATTTTAATTATTAACATTACATTAACTAATAAGTTGATTTTGATGATTAATAAAGCAACCAGCATTCCAATAGTTTCCAGTGGAACCGATTTGATAGCTGCAAAAAGATGTAGTCTTAAAGCAGATAGAATTAGAGCATGCATGTGTTTAAAGTCCTGGCAGATATAAAGTATAGTCAAATTTCTGTTAAAGCAAGTGATATAATTTCGATTTTATAGTTCAAATATAAAGCAATAAATAAACAGGAAATTGAAGATATCTTTAAATTCGTGCTTAGCTTTAGTTTTAATAACAAAAAGTTGTGTGACCTATATGATCATCTTGTAGATCAATTACCTTGCGTTATTGAAAAAATTATATTTGAAAAAATATTTTTGATATATTACTAAGCATACAGTATATTATCCAATGAAAATTTCGGGTCTAACCCGGGTTATTCGAATTAAATATACTCGGGTCGGGTTAAAATCGGATCATTTCTATTTTTGCCGGGTCGAGTCGGATATATTCTCCAAACCCGACCGAATCCGACCCGGTAGGAGCACTAGTTCGCAATAGTATCAATGTTTTCCAAAGTAAAATACACGTCATCAATTACAAGATTTCTATTTAATCAAGTGAAACAGTGAGATGAGCTAGTAACATAACTTACTAGAGGGTCTGCAAATGGGACCAGGAACCCAGAAACCCGGACCCAGCTCAGACCCGGATTCGAATTTGGGCCGGCAAACTTTCTTTCAAAATTCACCTGGGCCGGGTTCGTTAAATCCAGATTTTCGTAATTCTGGCTAAATATTACAGTATTAATAAAGTTATAATTAAAAAAAAAAAAAAAAATTAAAAATTATCGATATTAATACAATAATATAAATAAAAGTGAATGTCAGACATGATTATAATTTTATTGTATTACTTATTGTGTCATACTCCTGACTTGGCTATAATTAATTCTTTTAACTTTATAAAGAACTGCTTTATTTCACTATTGAAAAAACAGTATAATTATCTGCGATTTTTATTGTCCTAATCAGAAATTTTGGTTAGTTCAAATGGGAGTCACTTAAATTTCAAAATTTTCACTATATTTATTATTTATTACCATTATTTAAGGTTAGTCATAATAATTACGTAAATTTCCCCTTTAACATATATGAGGTCATCGCTATGAATGAAGATCATCTACGAACGAACGTCAATTTTTTTGATTATTATTGGTTAATCGAATATCCAACTAAATTTTTACACATTATGAAAATTAATGTTTCTTTATAAAATTTATTAATTACAAATTACAAATAAAAATTACAATTTTTTATATTATCAATAACATTATTTTTTTTGCATTAAATTTGACTATATTATGAGGAAACATTTATTAAATGTTCAGGTCAAGTTCGTAATTAATCTGATTTATGATTAAATTCATTTTATCACACGGTTCCTAATAATTCAAGATTGATAAAAAAGTCTATTAATATTAGTTTTCATTATTAGTCAAATGGTATTATTAAATAGATGGACGAACTCCTCGGAACTGTGATATAAATCACGAATCACTGTGGGTGATTTTCGATCATGTTGATTTCGATGGACTAAATGTCAAATATATTTGCAATTATATAGGCTATTATTATTTTAATAACAAAACATCAGTATGAACATTTAATTTAATATACCATATACCATATACGTCATTTCGAGGATTTTAAATCAAACAAACAGTGCTTACTTCCTTTCGAAACAATTCAAACTGTTAAATTGTCATTTAACTTGTGATTAAACCGGTTTTATTTTTTTGGTAACAATACTTTTTTATTATTAATAATAAGAAAATGAAAAAAAGTGAAAAAAAATAAAAGTGTTATCATAATAAGTAAATAAAAAATGAAAAAAAATAAAAAAAAACAATTTTCTTTTAAAAAAAATTTCTCAATCAAAGTTATTTAATAAATTTCCTGGCTTATAAGAAACGGAAAAAAAAAATATTAAAAAAAAGTAACAATTATAAGTAAAAACCAGGCGCGGCGATGCAATCCGCTGCGGTAATTGCACCATTCAACAAGACATTTTTAGCAAAAAAAAAATCCAATTAAAATTTTATTAACCAAATTGTATTACGCATGACCCACATGACCCACATGACTCAACAACAGTCAAATTATTCTAACTATAAATAGATCATGCGGCAGGCGCAGAGCTGTTACACAATTCAAATCATTTATACAATTGGTAATCTAGACTGGACGATCTACGAGTGTAATTTAAATTATATATTAACGAAAGCCGACAATAAGTAATTTTTTCAAAATTTATCAGCAATTTCGTACTATTTTAAAAGCGTAGCCAATCTGTAGAATTATCTATTTTTCGAAGAGAGGTTACACAAATCCAAGAATATCCGTTATACTCATTCTATTAACTAAATTTGATTAGTAATAGTAATAATATAAATATTTATTTATGATATAATATATTTAATACAATTATATATTAGATTATAATTGAAAAAAACTAAAAAAGTATAATTGAAATAAAAAAGGAAACCTGATTCTACTATTGTTTAAATACTAATTGAGGTAATGATCATCACGTAATTGCGTAATATTAGCAATATATATCATTTCCGCAGAATATTCGGAGATTCATTACCCTTACAAACTTCCTTTTAAAGTAAAGACGTAGTACCACCAATAACTAGTACCATAGATATTTAAATAAAGAGTTTTGTCGTAAAAAAGATTTCGAAAAATAAAAAAAAAAAGAAAAATATTTAAACCCAAAAACAAATATACTTGACAGTTATGATGATGGAAAATAATATTAATATTATTATTAAAGATGATGAAAATTTTTTAATAAATATTTTAAAAGATTTTTATCGTAAAATTATTGAAACAAAAAATTTTAATAATTTTGAAATTATTTCGATCGAATGGATAAAAAATGAAATTTTAAATAATAAAAAAAATTCTATAAAAATTCTTAAATTAATGCAAAATCATAAAGAAAGTAACAATTGGTTCACAAGTTTAATAGGATTTTTTTATCAATTTGGTATAGGTTGTAATATAAATAAGAATAAGGCTAAGGAATTATATTTTTTGGCTCTTAATAATGAAACTGAAAAAGATTTTTTAAATGAAAATTTTGATAAATTACATTTAATTGAAAATGTTGATACATTAAAAAATGAAAATATAATTATTGGAAAATATTTATTATCATTATTTTATTATAAAGATATTATCTTGGATGTAGAAGGTTTTAAATATAATCAAAATAAAAAGAATATAAAAAATGATGATCAAAATGAAATTATAAAGTTATTAAAATTGGCTAAAAATGGTGATATTAAAGCACAATATAATTTAGCAATCTGTTATCAAAATGGAAATGGTATAGAAACTAATCATAAAAAAGCTTTTAAATGGCTTTTAAACTCTGTAGAGAATGGAAATTTGGATGCACAATATAATTTAGCCATTTTTTATATGGATGGAATAGGAGTACAAAAAGATGAAAAAGAAGCATTTAAATGGTTTTTAAAATCTGAACAAAGTAGTTACTATCTAGACACTGAAGATGAAAAAGAAAATTTTGAAAAGTACTTAAAACTAGCAATATCAAATGATTCAGTGGCGCAAAATAATTTAGGAAACTGTTATCTATCTGGTAAAGGAATAGGTAAAAATGAGACAAAAGCATTTGGATGGTACTTAAAATCTGCAAATGCAGGTTTTGCGGGATATGCTGAAGGTCAATTTAATTTAGGTTACTGTTATGAAAATGCCATAGGAACAGGAAAAAATGTGATAAAAGCATTTGAATTGTACCTTAGATCGGCAATTGCAGGAAATGCCAAAGCACAAAATAGGTTGGGAGAATGTTATACTGATGGAATAGGGACGAAAAAGAATAAAATGAAAGCATTTAGTTGGTTTTCACAATCAGCTGAGAATGGTGACGCAGATGGGCAATTCAATTTAGGATGTTGTTATCAATATGGTGATGGTGTAGATATAAACGAAACAAAAGCATTTGAATGGTACTCAAAATCAGCTGAAAAAGGAAATACAGCAGCGCAAAATAATTTAGGACTTTGTTATCAGTATGGTAAAGGTGTATTAATAAATGAAAAAAAGGCATTTAAATTGTATCTGAAATCTGCTTCAAATGGAAATGCTGAAGCACAAAATAATTTAGGATATTGTTTTAAACATGGAAAGGGAGTTACTAAAAGTAAAAAGAAATCATTTAAATGGTATTCAATATCTGCAAAAAATGGGAATACAGATGCACAAAATTATATAGAAACATACAACAATGATGATGTAATCAAAAAATTCAAAGATAATATTTTATCAGGTATTAATAAATTATATAATTAATAATATGTCGTGCAGAGTTATGTCAGGTGATGTGAATCAGATTATCAGAATAATAGATTGTCACTTGACACATATTTATTGTTCACGTGGAATGTATAAATAAAAAACATATACTTATTCGTCATATTAGAAGTATTTTAGAGTTTTTTCAAGTAAATTTAGGAAACAAATTAAAATAGAATAATGTAAATAGCCGATACATAATCGTTTTTTGAATTAATTCAATCAATTGGATATTTTAGGATTAGATATTTTTTAATAAGATACTCAACATATTGATAATGGATATTTCAAGTTTAATGTCAAGAAATACTAAGTTAAAAATATTCACATATAAGAGTTTATATGCAAGTAGTTTTAAGTATATACTTTTTGTTATATACTAAATCGCGGGCTTCTTTTTTTTAACTGCGGCGAAAGAATACTTCACTATTCTACTTTTTTATATCGACCTTGATTTCCTTGGAAAGTAAAAATATAGTCAATACCTTTTTTATATTTTTTTATAATCTTCAATATTTTTTGAATTCCACAATTTTGGTATTATTATCTATTATATTATTATATTTTGATGGCTCGCTGTTACAAATTCAATTACAACATTAAACGATAACAACACCTTACTCCACTCAAACGAACGCATACTGCCTAGGATGCAACTTACTGTACGTAAATTATAGCCTTAGTTATACATAATCAAAAAGTAAATTCCATAAAATTAGTAATCCTAGCCTCCCTAATATTAATTTCATCACAATCTCACTAACCAGATTACTAGATTCACCGATATGGATTTCCAGTAACATTGAGAGATATTGACACGTTCGAAGAGAATAATTCAGATTATGCAGTAAATGTATTCTATCCTGCGCCAGCCAAAAATGACAAAGAGAAATTGATTTCAAAGCTGGACACGCTCCACATTAAAATGGATGGAATCGAATCTTTTAGCTATCCACTCTGTCCGGAACGCCGGATAATTAACGCAAAGACATTGGAGACTAAAGACCGTTATTTCATTGATTAATGAATTTGGAATGCAACTTGGGATTTATTCTGTGTATTAGAGTTTGGTCAATCTCCTTGGCTTGAACCATACATTATATCAAATACAATACGGGTACAGTACGACGTCGCAACGCAAAAAAATGCATTCGAAAAAGATTTATGGAAATTGGTGAATAATCGTTCCATAAACACATCTTGACGGGCGATTAATTTGGCGTCTTTTCTATTTAGTCGGTATTCGTATCAGAATTATTTTGGTGGTGTATGTTGTGACTATGTTGTGGTGATGTCGCGCATGCTGGTTGAGGTTGATTGTTCTGTGGTGAAGAAGTAGAAGCCAATGATTGTTTAGTGGGTATTAGTAGACTGCGCCCATCTCTTTCTTTTGTTGAATATATGCAGGATCCAATTTGTGATCCTGTTGTTTTTTCAGTTTTTGTTCAGCTTTTAAACGTTGTTCCTCTTTACGATGGGCAGCTTTTAAATTGTTTCTACGGGTTTGTTTTTTCATTTTTTCGCCAATTTTAGTTTAGGCGATAAAAGATGGGTGTAGATGACTAAAGTAACATGCGGTATTTTTTTAAGTATTAGTTGATCGTTAGAGGTTAAGTGTTGTAGTAGATTCAGGCGAAATTTGCGTAAAAACTTCTCGGTCGTTAGCGTAGTAGTCAGATGGAAGGTTCTAACAATATCAAATTTGAGAATATACAATATATATATTTTTTGGGGTAAATGTAGTCCTGGAAGTGAACTTATACAAATTCTAAACACTACTTGTATTTGTATACATCAGAAATTCTCCTCCTGCCTCACCTCTGCCATTGTTATTAGGAAACGGAAACCGTTGTAAGTCCGGAGCGAAAAAGGAATGTTAAAACTCCGATTTGCGATTTCATTGGATGACGTCATGTGAGGGACAGAGAAACTCACGTGATTGATCTAATTTTTTGCATGGAACATTTATCTTGAGAAAAAAAAAGAAAATAACAAATGTTTTTTTCTTAAAATACATAAAATAAAATCATTTTATTTCAAGTTACAGTAGCTTGATAAAAATTAATACTTAATGAAATTGTTAGAATACCTTCACAAATAACTTTTACCAATAATTAAGAACTCGCTGATAAGTTTGATTTTTTAATGTTTATCGTAGAAAATATCAATAATTTTCGTCAAAGACTTCTAAATTAAATAAATATGTTATTAAAAATGTTTTGAAATTATGAGATCTTACGCACGAATTTTAACAAATCGTTAAAATTTATATCTGATTACCTCCGCGTTTTAATTTCTTTCTATTAACAAAAGCAGTTGATATACTATACATAGAAATTAACTTTATTGTCTGAAGCTCAGAGTAGGACATTATCTTTTTGGGAGGTAGTGATGGTCACGTAAGGTTTTCGTTTGCCATGCCGCGTGACATAAATTATTTTTGTATGATATTAAAACAATGAGTAATTTGTTGGTCGTGGAAAATATTATGTTGGTTATACGGAAGGTAATTCTATTAGTTATCATAATTATTATATACTGTACATATCGGTGAATTTCGGTTTGCTGAAACTACAGTATTTTGAAAATTATCAAATTGAAATTGGAATGAAAAAAAATTCTTATTTACCTAATTTACTCTCTGTTTTAAACTCTTTCTACTGGGAAACCATTTTTATGTTAAAAAACCAGGTAACAATGAAGATGAGCGTGATAAAATTTTTATTCGATGATATATGACTTGACGATATCCGATATATTGATAAGACGATAGTATAAGATATTTGTATTGTTTAATCGACACATTAGACTATTTTTATTGTATAGTACGTGATTTGATTAAGCGATAAAAATCCTGTCATCTTTTGGAATACCATTTAAAGACAAGCTTCTTTTTTGATAACTTTTTTGGTAAAACATTCAAAGTCATACTGATTAATCTCTAATCAAGTGATTAGTAGTATCACGCTACACTATATAAAGTTACTTCTCCGACAACTCATTTTAAAGACTTATATATTTTTTTTTTATCAAAGATTTTCAGTTTTTTTTTATCAAATTTCGTATAATACACTTTTCTTTTTATATTCTGAAGATTATTTATTTTTTTTTTTATCAAATATATTTTTATTTTACATTCAAGAATGTCTTCTCGTATCTATAATCATTATGAAATCGACGCCCGTTTATCTAATCTACTTGAAAAGTTTCTTGAACAAGAATTTGATGAGACTGATTACAGCTGTCACGAAGATTATTCCTCGTTATCCGATAACTCCTCGAACTGCAATTATAATTCTCATTTTTCCATTAATGAATATTCACCATCTTCAAATATTGATCTCTGTAATATCTTTTATGAAGATTCAAATGTTGAGGTATAATTTTATTTTAATTTATAAAATTAAAATGAAACCATAATATCTTATATACATGGTACACGTTCTGTGCATATTATATATATGAATTAGAGTGAAGACTTGGACTCTGATTATAAATACGCGTCAACCGTGAAAGAAAATTCAGAAGAGAGTGATGATAATTATGACAGTTCAACTGAGAGAGATGAAGATGAGGAATCTAACAAATGTTCTTCAAGGGAAAAAGATGTGCCAGAAGATTTACGTGATTTACTTCGATTTTATAATGATTTGGATGATGGAGACGATGTCGAAGTTGATAGACAATTTGAAGATATCGAAAACGTAAATGCAATATATACAGTACGTAAAACATCGCTCCTGTTTGGCCGTTAAATAAAAAAATTACTTTTTTATTTCTAGGACAATGAGAGTGAATGTATCTTTATGCTTAACTGTGATATTCATCCGCTAACCAGTGATAAAGAGGATAATATTTTGAGAAATGATATAAAGAAATGTAAAACTGGAGCTATTAGAAATAAAGTGAGTTTACTTAAATGATATATTATTTAAATCAAAAATATTTTGTTCAACAAAAATTTATATATATTTAATAAATAGAAATATCGAGTTCATCAATATCTTAAACCCTGGACGACCTCTTATTGTTGATGTTTTATGCATCGGATATACTTAAAGCACTTTTGATGTAATTTTGGTACGTTTAAGTAACAAACTCAAGTTTGTTACAATAATTATAATATAGTACGATGCAAATTGTTTAATTTTATATTCTAATATTTTATGGATCATATTCTTAACTATTATAACTTCTATTTCAGATATCAGATTGAAAGTGTAAATTTCTTATAATGACGGAAAGTCTCCAAATATCCTATAATCCACAAAGCTAGAAACTTATAATATAAGAATTTAATAATATGATTAGATAAAATTTTTATGTAAATAAATCAATCTTAAAAAACTAATAGCTGTATTATTGAAATTTATCTTAGAATACGATACTCATAAAATTATAATAATATAATTAAGTAGAATTTTTATGTATATAAATCATTCTTAAAGAACTTTCATTGCTTTTAATTATCATTAAATAATTACTAGTTGTATTAAATAAAATTGTATATAATACTCGCTCACTCATTTAATATCGTTGTTCATCAATAATTTAATTATTTGCTATATAAAATCATGTCCCTAAGACTAAAAGGCTAGGTATGGAATCCTACTATTAACTTTACTAGATCTCTGCTGCCTTGATAATTATTAACGATATATATCGGTTAAATTAAAAATTTGGATAATTACAACTTTAATCACTTTAGGTTAACAAGAAATGTACTTAATCCTTCGATGACGAAAAGAAATAAAACCTTTATTATATTCTAATAATAAACTATCAAATATATTACACTACAATAATAAAATAAATTCATGTGGCACTTTTTTATATACCAATTAACAGTAAAAGAAAATAAGAAACTCTTACATGTAACTACTTTATTAAATAACGAAATTTTTATTATATTTTTTTTTTAATCATGATTTTTTGACGTTAACAGTTAAGCATTCTCTTTTAATAAATATTTTTAATTTTTAATTAATAAATAATTACATTCTATATACAATTATTACAAGTGTGGTTTTTCCTGCGATTATATTAAATAGTTATTGTATGGAGGAAAGGAGATGGCCGATACCGGCGATACCCCATCCAATAACTGACGATCATTAGGAATACTGCGGTGATCAATAGGTTTTTCAGAAACCCGGTCAGTCGTGTCACCTTCACATGGATTAAATTGCAAATAAAATAAATAAAATGAAGACAAAAATAAAATTTCGGTTCATCTTGCTGAAAATATTTATATTTTGTGAATATTATTAAATATTTGTTATAATATAATTATCAATAGCTTACTTTCAGAGTTATTTCCTTTTTATAGAGAAAAGACAGCCTTCTGAGTTGCATTAAAATCCGTATTTCCGCCATTTTGAAAAAAAAGATAATGAATTATTCGGAAAACCCTTGCCACTGAGAACTTATCTTCTTTTTAAACGTGACATCCAAAAAATTTTTTTCATTCTGTCAGTATAATCTTTAATAATGTCGAAATATTACACATATTATTCAATAACGATTAGAATCCTGTTATAATAAAATCTTGACGTTCACAATCCTGACAAATCATAATTCCGAAAATTCAAAATCCCAGGACTCATTATCCCGATACTTATTATCTTTATTTTATTTTATTTTATTTTTTTGATGTAATAATTTTGTAATAAATTGTAATAATTAAATATTGTAAAAATTAGTATTTTTTTTTTTATTAATACGTCGTAAAAATTAAATGTTTTTATTAATAATTCATAATTTTAATAATACTTCGCAAAATTTAATGAATCAGTTCTTTTATATTTTTTTAATAGATGGTACAGAATTAGGAAATATATTTTTTTATCATTTTTCGTAGTACTTTTATTTGTTTATTTATTTATTTATTTATTTTTGATAATAAAGTGGTAATTATGAATTACCGTTTTGGAAAGTTTATTTTAAGAAGAAAATTTTTTAAATTTTTTCTAAATAGAAAATATTCTATAATCATTTACAGTAAAAAATAATCAGTTAATAGTTAGTAGCAAATGCCACTAACCGGAAAAACTTTTCGTATTTAGAGCATTGTACAACAAGAAAACTGAAAATTAGAGGCTGCTTTTTTTATTCTGCAGTAAACAAATAAGGTAACAATTTTTTATAAATATGCGGATGCATACTCATTATAATATTACCTTATATAGAAATTTAAAATAGAATCGATCTCCTACTTGAATAACTTGAATTTTTAATACATATCGTCGATCACAAGCATTATTCGTACAATTATTTCTTACTAGAATTTCTGTTTTTACGTTGTTTATTTTCAAGCCAAAAAAAGTTGAAGACGAAGTACATGTGGAAATAATGTTAATAAGTTTGCATAATAAATACTTGAATATTATGGGTTCATTCTATATTACAGTAACAATAGTAACAATAGTAACCATGTTTTTAATACTAACGATAAAATTCAATTAAATACAATAGAATTTTTTTTAAAAAGAAAAAGTAAATAAATATTTTCTTTTAAATATTTATTTATTACAACTAATTAAATAAATTATAATTATGTTAAGAAATTCTTCAGTTTATTTTATATTATGGATACTAATTCAAATATTACTTAAAGTAAATTGTCAAATGACACCCTTTAAGCCAAGTACAGAATCTTCTCATTCTGCTACACTCATTGATAATAAATTATATATTTTGGGCGGAGTGGATTTAAACAGTAAAATGCTAAATGAATTTTTTTATCTTGATGTTTCTGTACCATTTAATACTCAAGAATTATCATGGCAAGACTTATCAAATATTAATATGGTTCCAATACATCATTCTGCAGCATCAGTTAAAGGTGGTCCGAATAATGATACTCTATTTTTATACGGAGGTGGCACAACTGGTCCAATACGTCAAATAATGGCATCGGTTTATACATTTGATTCACAAAGTATTGTATGGAGTATTCCAAAAATAGCTGAAGTTAATACAATTAGAAAATGGGGTTTAACGGGCGTTATTGATTATAATGGAAAAGTTTACTTATGGGGCGGAAAAATGACCAATGAAGTGTTTTCAAATGATATGCTTATTTTAGATACAATAAATCCTAGTTGGAATAAAGGAAGTATAGTTAATGCACCAATTCCGAGAGCTTATTATGGTGCCACTTTATTACCCAACAATAGGATTATTTATATAGGTAAGCAATTAATCATTTTTTACGTGTTTCATTTATTTATGGTAATTTATTCATTATTTATTACTTAGGTGGTTATAATGATAATACTGTTTCATTCTACCCCAAAACTGCCTATATTGCTAAAGGTACTGCTTTAACATTAAGTGAGGTAAAGTTTGAAAATTATACTAGTATATAAATACGCAGAAAATAAAAAATTTATTAATTATTAGATGAATTATTTATATAGGTCTATATATATGATACAATTAATGACAATTGGAACACTAAAGTAAGTAGTAGTAATTATTATAATGATAATTCTTAATCGTAAATCAATAATATTTTATTAAATTTAGACAACATCAGGAAAAATTCCTTCTAATAGAGCTGGTCATTCCACCATTCTTGGTATGTAATCAAATAAAAACGCTATGATTATTATTATTTTAAAAAGATTAATATTGAGTAATAGTAAATTTCACTATATTTTAATAGGTTTAGATGGTCAAAGAATCATAATGTTTGGAGGATTTTATAGTTATCCTGGATATTTAGATACCACACTTTACGTATTAGATTTAAATAATTATAATTGGTATATTCCAAAAATTTCTGGAAAAATCCCAAAGCCTAGGCTTTATCATAAAGCAAATGTAATTGGAAAATATATGGTTATATCATTTGGTAAATATAATATTTTATATTGCTGTTCAAGTTACTTTAATTGATAATTATTTTAATAAAAATATGATTTAATAGGTCAGGGTTATGATAAAACAGTTGAAAGTGATATATTATTGCTTGATATTAGTAATAATGATGAATATATATGGACGACAACATTTGATCCAAAAGTGCCATCCCCACCGCCATCACCATCACCATCACCATCACCATCACCATCAACATCACCATCAACATCATCATCATCACTACCTTCGTTATCACCTTCGCCTTCACCTTCATCTCTATCATCACCAACTAATGATTCAGGCAAAATAGCTGGTGCAGTTGTGGGAACTTTATTAAGCGGTATTTTATTATTAGTCGGAAGTTTCTTGATATATAAATGGAATAAAAATAAACAAAAACAAAAAACTATTTATGAAAATGAAAATGATAATGATCATAGTCAAGAAGAAAAGGAACTTCCCGCCATAAGAGATATTCATAATTATGAACAAGAGATCAATAATAATGAGCAAGAAATTATTCAAATTAATCAAATACCTAGAAATGAAAATACGTCTAACAATGAACCAATAATAATTCCACCTCCAATAATTAATAAAAATAATTATCATAAGCAAGAAATTATTCTATCACCCGAAAATGGAAATACAACCAATCATGAACCAATAATAATTCCAGTCAATGATTACTATCATGGGCAAGAAATTGTGCGAACGTTCCAAAATGAAAATACGACTAGTAATCACGAACCAATAATTCCAGAACCGGCAGTAGTTAATACTAATAATTATAATTATGGGCAAGAAGTTATTTCAACACCTAATAATAATAATAGGATATCAACCCAATTTTTAAAAGATGAAATTATTCAAGCTATTAAACAAGAAATTGGTCAAAATTTGAAAAATGAAATACTTCAAGCTGTTAGAGAGGAGAATTTAAATAATTTTAATGCTACAAAAAATAAATAATATAAGATTAAATTAATCGATTTTAATTTATTATATTTAATGACATATTTCGCGTCATCTAATGAGAAAATCGATTGCAAGTCACTACCTCGCTCTTTTTTAAATTATTTTACATAAAAGAATTTTTACATTGACTTGTCACAAAAATTACAAAAATTTTTATTATATCTTAAGCCAAATTTATAGTTTCTAATTTCAACATTATGTACAATGTCTCTAGTAAGTTATGATTATTTAGTTCTTCAAAAATAAAATTTCATTATAAATAAAATCTTTCCATAAATTCATGTTAAAACATATTAGAAAGAAAATAAATATTATATATAAATATGACTGATTATTTGCATAGATCTTTATTAAACAACCGGTAAAATTTGTGACTGATTAATTTCGATGGAATAGTAATAGATTTTGCTCCTAGTTTTTTTTTATTTTCGATTTCACTGTGTAAGCTATATTGGCAATTCCGACACTGGCTGTATGATAAACCCGCGGAGACCACGCAAAAGCAATCTCATTATAAAATTGTAATTACCGTAGATCTAAAATTTTAAATTGCAACGTCTTTAAAATTATAAACAAAATAAATAAATTATTTTCAAATTTAAATTGTATTTCTTCTATATGTATATTTTTATCAAACCAGGGTTCTTTATTAATTTAATTGAAGTGTAAAACGTAGGATGACGTCTATTATCAATTATTTAATTTCTAATTATTCGAAAATTAATGGATTTTCAGTAATTTTACCGTGGTAATAAAGCCGTCTTGTAAAATCTTAGTGATTCTGATCAATTAAGAGGATGATATATAACAAATGTCGGTATTGGGGAGAAAAAAATTATTAAATGACTAAAACTGAGGAATTAAAAACAAAAGCGAAACCTAAAAGTTCATCAAGAAAAGCAGAAAATGAATGATCTTTTCATGAAAATTCAACCATTTATGTTAGTCATCTCGTATGAATATAACCGATAACCATTTTTATTCTGGGACGATTTATTTTAATAAATCTTTGAGTTACACCACATAAAATGACTAAAAGTTAGAAGACACATATGACACATATACAATACATAGTTTGTTCCATTTTATAATAATGAGTTAGACTGACAAGTTGTGAGCCATATCACATATATTTTCTTGTATTTATCCCATATTTATATATGTATATCACATCATATCATGTCATATTATGTATATTATGTATTGCATATAAAATATCACTTTTGTATCTCAATGTGTAAGTCCGAGTCATATTATCTATAAGTGATTTTTTTTATTTAAAGCCCAATTTTATCCTATTTACCAATTTTATTTCAATTATATATTTCTCAATAATAATTATACCAATACTAATAATTATACCAATACTCTCAATAATAATTATACCAATACACCAATTACACCAATTTACCAATACAAATTACCAATAGAAATTCATCAACATGAGCACATCTGAGAGCTACCCTGGTCAAAATGGTAAATCTTGTGAACTGTATTTTGACTTTTATTATTATTATTAACAACTAACCATCCTTTTAACCTTTTTAGCTCTTATCTCTTATATAAAAGAGCGAAACAATAGGGTATCATATCGTGCGTTCTTGAACAGTCACCGTGATATCATTGTTACTTCAATTGCTACTTCAATTGCTACTTCAACCTCAGACAATTTGAATGAATATGATAATCTTTGGACAGCTCGATTTTTACATGAAGGAAAAGATATTGCTAATTTAAAGGATAAGGTGCATTATTTTTTTATTTTGCAAAGGGAGGGTAACCCCTATGTTGATCATTGGTTTGGCTAGGGGAATTACTGGGTTCGTTCGTTTGGTAGCCACTCCAAGCTCTCAATTCAGGTGTCCTATCTTTGTAGTTGGTAAAGGTCTGCTAGTTCTGGAGGAGGAATCTGCTATGTACCTTCCTTTATCACTAAATAAAAAATTAGCACATTGCTAATAAGCTTTATTGTTTCTATTACAGGTAAAACTAGAGCGATTACAACGTAAGAAAGATCTCCAAGAATACTGGCAAGAGATCATTAAGGAATGCGAAAAAGAAAATCTAATACCTGCTATTACTGCTACTACTCCTGACAAAGATCTTTCCAAATTTTCTCATAAGAAAACTAAAAACATTAAACTTACTAATTTCTGCTATGATATTCTTTATGAACTTGAAACTAAGTCTAATACTCATCCATTTTATAAATATGACGAAAATAAGGCTTCAAATAAAATTATAAATCATCCAATGGATTTATTTACTATAAATTCAAAGTTAAAAAATGATAAATATACAAGTATAAAAGATTTTGAAAAAGATATGCATCTCATATTTCATAATTGTTATACATATAATGATAGAGGAAGTGAGATATATAATTTGGGAGAAGAATTAGAATCAGTTTTTAATAAAATATGGGTTGAAAAAGTTATCTTTCAAGTTGGTCAAAAGGAAAAACTAAAAAGAGTACGAGATACTGATGATTCATCTACTGGTAAGTTATAATATTTTTATTTATTATCTTCATTTATTATATTTTTGCATTTATTTATTTATTTATTAATTTTAATAACTGTTCATTAGAACTTGTATCAAAGCAAATCCGGATTTTAGAACAAAATAAAGATAAATTAGTATATAAACAGATTATTAATGATACTCTTCTTGTTGCTACAGCATATGAAAATCTTGTTGCAGGTAATATTATACCTTTTATTAAAATTCTAAAGAAATTTTTGCAAACAAGATCACAGATGTCATTATCTTCTGCAGATGAACCTGTTCTTCAGGCAATTGTTGAAAGCCTTTTGCCATTAAAATATCATATTCCAGAACTTTCATTAGTAATGAATGGTAAAATGCTAAAAGGATTTGGTCGGTTTGGTTATTCAGATATTTTTGTTCTAAAAGGAATAGGAGATAGCAATGTTAGTTTGGAATTAAAATACATTTCATTGGTTGGTTTAGTAACAAATAAGGTTGGTGCAAATGATTTGGAAATTTTGGATAAAATCCTTGAAAAAGAAGATGAAGAACTTTTATTAAAAAGATTGTATACATACTGGTCAAAAGAGCATAAAAAAACAAAACAAACAACCATAGGTGAAGTAATGAATAATGGAATAAATCAATTGAAATCATATATGGATGTAATTTCAAAAGGAAAAACTATTGATTATTCCAGTTCAGGCATATTTGACAAACGAGTTAAAATAACTAAATCAAATCCTAATAAATTAAAAGGATTTGTTATTTTAGTTATTGGTTTTCGTCGTATCTTATGGAAATCTGTAGATGAAGTGATATCTAATTATACATATAATAAGGTCTAGATATATATATTTTTTTGATATTGGCAAGCTTAATTACTAGCAATTGATTAATCTCCAATAATATCTAAAAGTAAAAAAATAATGTTTTTAATAAAATATATTCAGATCTTCCATAATTATTATTAAAATTTCATCTTTAAAACATTCCATAATATTGTAACTTTAGTTTCTTAATTATTAAAATTTTTAAAGTCTTTACGCAAGGTGATTTATGAAAAATTTGTGTCAATTAAAATTATTTATTATATGCACATACTTGTGATACCAAGAAAGTATACAGGTTTCATATTAATCACGTTTTTTTTAAAGTGATGGATTGAATATTACATGTTACATTGTTACAATTTTCGGTACGAAATTTTTCCGCTATATTATAAGTTTGCCGGTGTTACCTGAAATGAAGCGGATATTTTTATCAATAAATAGCTTTACAATTTGAACAAAAAGAGATAATTTGTTTTAAGGCTTTCATACCTTATTAAAATTTAGTGATGTAATTTTTTTCTTATGAGATAAATATATTACAATTTTTACGTGCGGTAATAACTTAGGTAAAAAATTAGGTGTCTTATATTAAAATTTTGAACGCAGTAAAAGGTAAATTTATCACGTGATGTATTAAATCACTATGTTCGTGTAATGACGTTCTGTTTTACAAATTAAATGATCGGCAAATGTGCGACATTGTCGGCAAATCTCATTTAAATACTACAAAGCACGAATTAGGCGTAGTGTTTCAGCTTTCATAGCTTTCATAAGAATCTACGTAAAAAAAAAAACTTAAATAAAAAAACACAATGTCTTTAAAAAATAATATTTTAAATGATGATGAAATTTTTTTAAAAGAATTCTTAAAAAAATTTTATCGTCAAGTTTTAAAAATTGAGAATTTTACAAAATATGAAAATATATTAAAAGAATGGGTAAAAGATTTTCTTAAATATAATGAAAAAAGTCCTGAAATAATCTTAAAATTAATGAAAGAACATGAAGAAAAAGAAAATTGGTTTTCAAGTATAATAGGATTTTTTTATGAACATGATATAGCGATAGTAATTGATGATAATAATAATAATAATGATAATACTAATAAAAATAACAATTCAACTTTAGAATTTTATTTATTATCAATTTATAATTATAATGAAAATAATAATTTAACTTCTATTTATCAATTATTTAATATCATTATTTCAAAATATTTATTATCATTTTATTATTATAAGGAAATTATTTTAAATAAAAGGGATTTGATTACAAAAGAAATCGGATATTCGGAAAATTTATATGTAATGTCACATAATCAGGTTGAAAATTTTAATGGATTAGAAATAAATTTATGTAAAGATGAAATAAAAATTATGGAAAAATATTTTGAATCACAAGAAAAAAGTTTTAATGAAGTTCAAATAGAAAAGAAGAAATTAATAGAACTAAATAATTTGGGTTATTGTTATCAGTATGGAATAGGAAAAAAGAAAGATGAATTTAAAGCATTTGAATTTTATCTAAAATCAGCAGAAGGCGGAAATTCTGATGCACAAAATAATTTAGGTTATTGTTATCAAAATGGAATTGGTGTCACAAAAGATGAAAAGAGAGCATTTGAAGTGTATTTAAAAGCTGCTAATGAGGGTAATATGCATGCACAATATAATTTAGGGATTTTCTATCAAAATGGAATGGAAATTAATAAAGATAACAAGGCAGCTTTTGAATGGTATTTTAAATCAGCTAAAGGAGAATATTCACCAGCACAATATTTATTAGGTTATTACTACCAAAATGAAATTGGGGTAGAAAAAGATTTAAAAAAAGCTGTTTATTGGTATATTAAAGCAGCAGAAAATGGAAATAAATTTGCACAATATAAATTAGGAAATTATTATAAAAATGGAGATTGTGTAGAAAAAGATGAGAAAAAAGCTTTTGAATATTATAAGAAATCAGCTGATCAAGAACATTTAGATGCTCAATATGAATTAGGATATTGTCATGATAAAGGAATTGGCACTGAAATTAATAAGACTAAAGCATTTAATTTATATTATATTGCAGCTAAAAAAGAGCATGTTATTGCACAATATAATTTAGGTAAGTGTTATGAAAATGGAAAAGGCGTAGAAAAGGATGAAACCAAAGCATTTAATTATTATAAAAAATCAGCTGATCAAGGATATTCATATGCTCAATATCAACTTGGATTTTGCTATCTTAAAGGAATTGGTATTGAGATTGATAAAGTAAAGGCATTTGAGTTAATTATGATAGCAGCCGAACAAGGAAATGCTTATGCGCAAAATTATTTAGGTTATTTATATGAAAATGGTGAAAGTACAGAAGTAAATTTAGAGAAAGCTCTTTACTGGTATAATAATGCAGCAAAAAATGGGAACGAAGTAGCACAGTATAATTTAGGCTGTTGTTATGAAAATGGAAAAGGTGTTGAAAAAGATGGAAAAAAAGCTCTTGATTATTATAAAATGTCAGCTGATAAAGGATTTTCATATGCTATTATTCAGCTTGGAAATTGTTATGATAAAGGAATTGGAACTGAGGTTAATAAAAAAATGGCATTTGAGGTGTATAAAGTTGCCGCAAAAAAAGGAAATAGTGATGCACAAATGTCTCTTGGTTATTCATATAATTGTGGTTATGGAACAAATAAAGATTTAGAAAAAGCTGTTTATTGGTATCAAAAAGCGGCAAATAATGGACATGAAATTGCACAATACAATTTAGCTGAATGTTACGAATTAGGAAATGGTGTAAATAAAGATGAAGTTAAAGCATTAGAATTATATAAGAAGTCAGCTAAAAATGGATATGTAGGGGCCAAATTCATACTTGGATATTATTATGTAAATGGGATTGGCACTGAAATTAATAAAGAAAAAGGATTTGAATTATATAATGAAGCAGTTGGCAAAAAAAGTATTGATTTGTTTGATATAGATACAGATAATAAAGAAGCAGATTTAGATAAAGTTGGATATTTTTATTATAAAGCCGCAGAAAATGACAACAAATTAGCATTATATAAGTTAGGTGAATTTTATGAATTAGGAAAAGGTGTTAATAAAAATGAAACGAGGGCATTTGTATTTTATAAAGCATCAGCTGATCAAGGATTTGTAGATGCCCAATACAAACTTGGATATTTTTATAGTAATGGAATTGATGTTGATATTAATAAAGAAAAGGCAGTTAGTTTATATGAAATTGCTGCAGAAGGAGGAAATGTTGATGCACAAAAAAGCCTTGCATCCCTATATGAACATGGCGAGGGAACAGAAAAAAATATAGAAAAAGCTATTTATTGGTATAAGAAAGCTGCAGAAAATGGATGTTTAGAAGCTCAAAATCATACAAGTATTCTTGTACTTCAACAAATGTTCCTAAAATTTAATTTTTATTCCTAGATAGAAAATTGCAAGACATTTTTTTTAAATAATGTACCGGCTAACATTTACCAAGTAAGATTGTTACTATAAATACTATTATTATGATTGGTGAATTCACAATAGAACATCTAAAGAGGCATTTTTTTGTATCGAGTACTTATTTAACGTGTTATCTATATAAATAAATCTATATAAATAAAATATTCTGTTGCAACAATATCTTTTTAAAATGTTTCAAATAAATTTTGGAAAATAAAATTTTACAATAAAATAATAAAATGTAAAAAATCCTTTTAGAGGAATAAACAAAATGTTCTTACTCCAGTATAAATTAGCGCAAGAAAATATAAATTTGTGCATCTGTTGAGTGCTTATACAATACCTAGTGGTTTTGCTACGCCTATTAAAAAAAAAATAGCATTTTATGTGGTTAAATTTATGCCAATACTCTAATTAATTTAGATATTATTACAGTTAAATAAAATTCAGCGAAGGGTGCAATATGAAAATCAAGTATAAATTACGTCTGATCGCATTACCTACCATAAATTGGCTATGACTATAGTTATACTAGTATATACGACTTATATATTAGTGTATCGATTGCACTTTTATTTTATGCATCTTAAGAAAAAAAGACAAACTACCAAATTGTACCTATTCAACCATTTTATAAAAATCAAAATTTCTCTGTCTCGTGATTTTTTTTTTTTAAATAAATTGATGTTTAGTAAAGATCAAATTCATTACCGCCTTTTTTTTTAAAAAAAAAAGACTGTTAAATCGCCAAAATATATGATTGCGCGATATTTATCTTTAACTAGAAACAATTTGTACGTTTAAGTTCTTAATAGTTATGACCTTTAATTGTTGAAAGTAAAAAATTCAATAGTAATTCAATATAATATCTTGGTAAAGAAAAACTTACTCGAATTAGTTACTTTTGATTTCTTGTCTGCTGTCAATGGAACAAATAAATTATTATGATATCCTAATCTTTTTTTATTCAAACCTTTATTGCTTTTTAAATTAAACAAGTTATTTAACTAGTAATTTACACCTAATTTCCATTCTTTTATAATATCTTAATAAGTACTACTTCGTATGGTTCATTATAATTTTAATCTTTCGACCAGAGAAAGAATAAGATAAGCTTTTTTTTAAATAATAAGAGATGTTTATCTCTTATCGCTTTGGGCTTTGAGTTTTGGTTTGGGATTCTAAGGGGAAAAAGTGATCGTTATATTAATCTTGATTCGCTGCAATTTTATTTCTCGTTTATATGTATAAAATGACAATCTATTTAACTTTATCTGATTACTTTGAAATGGAATCACTGTCCATAAAACTTGTGATACGTAATGATTTAATTAAATATTAAATAGTTATTGGGTGGGAACAGAGATATACCCACCAGTAGCTGAATTATATATAGTTCAATCACTAGGAACATTGCGGTGACCAATAGGAATTAATATTACTAATACTGATTTCAATATTGGATTAAATCTCATATTCCAGCTAATAGTGAAAATTCTATAATTCGATCTCGTTAGATATGATTCTTTTATAACTTCGCATCATGTAATTAGCTCCTGAATAATAATAATTATTGGTAAAAATGTCCCAAATGAAAAATATTGTAACCCATAAAACTTGTGGTACGTAACGATTTAATTAATTTTAATAAATATTGTAAAATACAAGAGTTATAGTGAAAATTATTATAATTAACCTCTAAAATTATAATGCAAAATTTACATGATCGGTTCGATGAATTCATAAGTAAAAAAAAAATCAACCATTTTGTTAGCCTAATTTGGTATTACAAGCATCATGTATGATTTTTTTCTCGGGATCAGCTTCCGGATCAAGCTTTTTCCATCTCATCTCCTATCTTTAAATAATATGATCACGTAATAATTATAAGGGTTAACTTAAATACGAGTTTGATTATTGATTTGTTAAGAAAAAAGTTATTCTTCATTTTTTATTTCCTTATCCACCAAAAAAATAAAAAAAAATATTAGCACGAACAAACATGAAATATCAAACTGCGACCGGAACAATAGATGAAATAGAAATTTTGCAAAATGCTATTTTACGTGTAACCGTTGATAATTTTTCTCAAAGAAAAAGCAGAGAAACATTAATTGATGAGCATAAAAAGTTAGATAATTTATGTGATTCAAAGAAATATGTTGTTCATAATATCAATAAACAAGAGAATTTAACTTTAAATATTCAACTTCGGATATCAATATCAAATTTACAAGTTGATAATGTACCCACTGAAAGATTCTTGCTATGTCGAGTGATTTCCAGATTCGTAAAAATATATGCCCTTTTAGCTCTTGTTGAAGATCCAGAGGGTAATGTTGAAAGACTTGCTTTGTATAATTGGACAAAAATTCCCAAACAAGGTCAATCAAATACTAAGTCTATCGATCAATCATTTTTACCAATTGGAACTATACTTGTCATCAACAATATATCTTATAAATTTGCCACTGGTAATATAACCATAATTCGTTCTGATAACCCTGATGATGTCATCCTCATTGATCATAATAACAAGTTGTTTGATGACGATAAAGTCGTTAAATGGTCCACAAATGAAAAGAAAGTTGAAATAAAGAATGCCGATTATTTCCGTCGTCTTGGGAATGATTATTTTACTTCAAATAATTATATTACAGCTATTAATAATTATTCAAATGGCATCAAACTGGAGCCAAAAAATGTCACTTTATTTACTAATCGAGCAGAAGCTTACCTTCGTTTGTATCAATTTTATAATGCCTTAAAGGATACAAAGATTGCTCTTATGTATGATCCCAATAATTTAAAAGCAGCTTATCGCAAGGGTAAAGCTCTTTGTGGTCTCAATCGTTATAAAGAAGCCACTAATATACTTCAAAATTTATATCAAAGAATGAAAGGTAATACTTCAATTAAACAAATTACGAAGCATGCGGAAATGTTGTCTTATGAAAATGAAAATGGGAAATATGATTATTTACGTATCATTGATGAATTCCATGAGAGGTCTAAAATTAAAAAAGATATTAAGGGTAATGATGTTTGGATATATGAAGCAGGTCCAAGATTGGATCATGCTAATTTTTTAAATGAAAATATTAAGATTGATCTTATAGAAGGAAAAGGAAGAGGATGGATCGCTAAATGTGACATTCCTGAACATACTTTGCTGATGGTCTCTAAAGCATTGATAGTAGTTTTTACTAATGAGGTTTTAGGAACTATTATAAGCAAAACCTCAAATGATGAAACATCACAAATTCATGTACATCCGTGTGCTGAAGAATTAGCTACACGTATTGCTCAGAAAATTTTTGCGGAACCTTATTATTGTCCGGAAGTGTATCGACTTTATGATGGTCTAAATCTTAGTACAAATGAAAGAATTGAAATAATTACTAATAATATAGTGAGTTTTACAATAATTGCAAATGCTCTCAAACACAATGTTTTTGGTTTAGTTTATAGTGAATTTCTTAAAACTACATTAACTGGTGTAGGGCTGTGGACTTTACCATCTTATTTTAATCATGCATGTATTGATGAAAATGTAAACCAATTTTTCCTTGGTGATTTGTTGTTCCTTCGAACTAATCGGCCTATTTCAAAAGGTGAAGAGTTAATTATTAATTACAAGGATGCTTCCTTTTGCTATGAGGAACGATCAAGTTATCTTAAATCTATAAACATAGATTGCCAATGTAGAATTTGCAAGTTGGAAAGATCTGAATCACAAGAAATTAAACTCAGAATGACACAACTATTGAAAACTTATGATGAATCAATCAAACCTAAATTATTAAAATCGCATAATGTTGATCTTTCTCTTATTAAAGAATTAGAATATGTAATTACTGAATTACGTAGCCTTCGGAAAGAACACTCAGATCTAGGATTTAATACAATAGAACTTATTAGTACCCTGGCATATACTTACCGTGAAAGTGGTAATAACAAAAAGGCTCTATCTATTTTGAAAGAGGCATATGATTTATATAAAACAACTCATTTGAAAGAAATTCATAACATAATCCTAGATATTATAATTATCAGTTTAGATCTCGAGTTGATTGAAGAAGCTAAGAAATGGTTTGATATGATATTGAAAATAGTTGTAGAACCTATAATGGGCAAACTTGAAGATGATAAACCTAAATGGAGAAAAGAAGCCTTGCATTTGGCAGGAAAAATTTTGCCGGAAATAATTTCAATTGCTGAAATTCTAGAAATTGTATAAAGAAACTTTTAGTCAGACTGCTCATTTTAAGAACAAAACAGAATTTTATATTGTTGAATTCTTATGCTATAAACTCTATAAATCTTACTAAAGATATGTATTCTAAATAAATAAATAAATGCAAATTTCTTATATTTCTGCAATTATATTATTTTTTAATTGACTCTGTATAAATACGAATATCATTAAATTTACGGGCATATTTGGTATAGTGTTCATGTAAATCATAAGAATCTTCCTCATATATGTAACAACTTCTAATTACTTATATTTTGCGATGTGAATATGAATATGAATGTAATGAATTTTAGAAACCATAATGCTTTTTTATACATATATCCATGACGTCCATAGTTATTAGTTTCTATATCCCTATAAAAAATTTTTATCCGAATATTTCCATTATTTCTCCGTGTCTTCCGTAAAAATTCCGTGAAAATGATACATTCACGGAAAAAACATGGAAAGATAAAACACGGATCAGATTTTTTACAGGGTATGTATAATCATGCTTCATTTTAATTGGTAATATTACATTTATTATTACATTTAATCGAAAATGAAAAAGGAACGCTCATGAATGAAATTCTGTTAAATAATTCTAACTTTTTTTAAAAAAAATTAGGATCAAGTTATTACAGTATTTAAATTTTAAGAGAAAAAAAAATCATTTATTTATTTTATAAAACCAAGTACAAATAATAAGAAAATAATAATAATATATAATTACGTAACTAAAACGATAAACTACATAAAACATAGTATTTCGTAAAATTTCACCACAATCTTAAAAAAAAAAAGACGAATAGAACATAAATGTGTATAGTGTAATCTACATGTTAATCCGAATGTACGAATGTTTTTAAATACGACGAAAGGTAAAAAGTGTGAGGCTGTCAACGATATTTGAAATATTTGTCATAATCAGATTTTGCGTATTTTAGGATTCACGAAATTAGAAAACGATTTAAAATTATTTAAATTATTAGGATTGAATATAAGCGAAGAAAAAATATATATGAAATTAAATATTGTTATTTTTAAACGAATGTAATCATCATTAGTAAAAATTGGAACCATAAAAAATTTGTTTTACGAATGGATGGTTCGATTGCCTTAATGTATAAATATTGGTATGTCTTAATTTTCTAAGATTTCTACGTTTACGAAGGGTACGATAGGACGACGGGTTGGTCAAAGGAGTTTGTTCAGAATCTATATTTTTTCTTTGATATAGAGAACTATTGCAATCGGAAGTAATAGAAGAAAATGGCGAAAATTATAAAGAGAAATAATTCTTAAAGCAAAAAAATTGAGTTCGCGTGCTTCGCTTCTCACATCCTATTTTCTACTCAAAATTTTTTGGTGTGAAAGGCTAAAATAAAAAGTTGGCTATGCAGATAACTCGTACGACCCTTTTTTCTTGCTTAAAACTTACCATTTTCTTTCAAGTTGAAATTGGTGTAATTGTCGGGTAACTTTTTGCGACAGTTGTTGGGAATGCAAAGAACTTTTGTTGAATATTTCTTGTCTTTTTTGTTCGTGTTCTTCACGTAATTTCTCTTGACAAATATCGAGTTCTTTGCATACCTCTTTATGGGAAGAAACAATATTAGTATCGATCCATTTATAAGTTTGACTGAGATAGTTAAGCGATTGGTTGTCAGAATAAGTGACTGATGGTTGTTCCATTTTTTTTTACAAGAGCGAATTATTTAAAAATTTTCTTAAGCGTATCTCGTTTTTGTTTCAGTAAAATTAGTAAAATTGAAAACGAATGCAATTAAAAAAAATTATTTTTTTATTTTTTTTATTTTTTTTGGATTTTTTGAATTTTTTGGATTTTTGGGTTAATGGTTAAACGCCTAATAGGGTTGTTTTATATATAAAAAATTTTTTTTATTCTTGGCCTTCTGTTTTTTTTTTAACTGTAGTAAAAAATATAAATATATAAATGTATAATAATTTCAATCAAGTTTTTTTCTTAAAGTTAGGCTTTTCCCATACATTAGTTTGTATAAAAATATTATAATGTAATATAAAAATAATTTATTTTATTATGTTATAATATAATTTATATCCTATTTTTATTGTAACGAGATTAAATTATGATTAGTGTATAAAATGTTATTTTTTTGAAATTGTGTAAGGAAAATTTCCTTTCAAAGAGCTCACGTAGCTTTTTATCCTTTCTTTATCATATCAGCATTATCAGGTAATCACGTATTGTTTGGCGGAACCGAAGATCATATCCCAGATATTTTATATTAACCACAAGGATTGGTTCGGATTATTAAATAAGCATCCTCTAACGCGTAACAATTAGTTTTTTTCAATATTGGCGTTTTACGGAAAAGGTTCTTGTAATTAAGGATTAGTAATGAATTAACTTCTATGGATTAAATGAAGGAAACGCCCACTTAATTTCTGCAAATAAAAAAGCAACAAGAATCATAAATTGTGCATCTTTTAATCAATTATATATCTACTTACTATTTTAATATCATCATTTAATTTTGTTAATGTATTTATTTATTTTTTACGTCCAAAATATATTGAATTATTTTTTTTTTTTCCATTTGTATAAAAAAATTATTATTTGGCGTACGAGTCTAATTTTTCCATGCATAATTACGGTGTTATTTGTTATGTTGTAACAGCTTCTCACAGCCCTATCAGAAAATCATTTTGAGTAACATACGTTACCCGGATAAGTATTGTAGCGAACGATCGATCACGTGACCAAAATTTGGGCCTAATCACGAGGTGACGATCAATGTTCGAAATGTTGCATATGTTGCATATATGTAACATATCAAATATATGCAACATATCAAATATGTTCAACATATCAAATATATGCAACATATCAAATATGTTTAATTTATTTAATATATTCAATATATGCAATATGTTAGATATTTTTAGTCTGGTATTTTTACATATATATAGACCTGTAATTAGACCTGTAGTTGAATGAAATTGAAGTTCAGTAGAAGAGTTTTCTTAATAAAAATGGTTCTAATGATTATATTAAATAAACTGTTGTTTTAATTTAACGAAATATAAATTTGTTATCCTTTATTCGTGTTGGGAGTATATGCCGACGTACAGTGCTATACTACACGTCTGATTGGATTGTTTATTAAGTGTTTATACAAATAGTTTATTTATTGATTATACCCGCCTACCTAGTATGTACCTTCTGCTTACCCTTTTCCATTTGTTTACGTTTGTAAACGCTAAAGAACTGGCTATAACAGTATCAATTGTTATCAATAATCAAATTTATACTCTTGGCACAATTTGTCGACCATGAGTATAATTTCGAATTTATTATTGAACAAATAACCTAAAATTAATTCACTAAATAAAGTTATGAATTTGAATTTTATATATATATATATATATATTTTTTTTTAGACATATTAATTTGAAATTTATTAATTTATTAATAATTACTGATGTTAACACTAACCCAAATAAAAAAAAAAGATTATGCTATAGAATTGTCATTATTAGTGTAATAGACACAACATCTTGAAATTATTAAAAAAGTGATATCTTATTACTAATAATTTTGAAACGTGGCTCTTATATTTATATTTGTTTTTGTTGTTGTTTATTATTTATGACCCGAATTATAAAAAAAAGGATTGACAACGAAACACCAATTAAAAATTTTTTAGTGTGATACACTGATACGGTTATGATATCACGAGGATTCACGAGAGGGACATTTGAAACGGAAAAATTTTCGAAATTTGCCGGTCAAAATTCCGAAACATTCAGCCCCCGTTCTTTTTCGTAATTATCTGGCACCTTTTTTTTTTAAAAAAAAAAAATCGAACAATTTTTTAAATCTTACACAAACAATAATATCCAACTTCAACCCTTTTCGTAATTCAAATTTTCGTCCTGAAACACTTTCTTAAAAACATTACGTAAATATAATAAAATAATTTAATTGAACATTTTTGAATAAAATTAATCGTTGAAGAGAAGATTTTAAGAAATGATTAATTTAGAAAAGGATAAAAGACTAATTCGAAAGTAATATATCACAAACCCAACTATGAGGGAGGATCGGAAATTGAAGCTTGGTAATTTTTGAATACAATTTTAGTGGCAAAACATGTCTATAATGAATGAAACGGTCGCTAACTTATTCAATCAAAGTAGAAAGTAAATGTTCAAATGAAAACATGTCAAAATTAAATCATATTATCAGCTGATGATTCTTCACAAGTAAATTTTTGATTTATATATGTAGAATATAATACGGTCGGTATAAATATCAGGAATATAAAATTTTTTACCGCAGCAAAAGTTAAACAACTATTCCATCATTAATAAGTTTGAAATATCAAAGAAACATCATAAGCATGTTTACAAAATAATAAGTAATACTAACCATTAATTGAGCGGTTATGCGTAAGCCACATAAACGCGTTAAGCCGTTAATGGTTAGTCCATTAGAACTTAGTTCCTATGAAAGTGTTGGTTTACTATGAAGGATAGATTGATAATAAAATATAATAATCATTATGTTCATATTTTTTAATAAACATGTGCGCATTGCACACATCACTTAAATTTTGGCGTGTGCACACATGTAGCGCACATGATTTTCAATATTGCTCATACAGTATAACTAAAAATAATCATGTGTGTGTGAATTTTGAACACTGATTTTGAATATACCTTCAAAATTTGTCATGTAAGTTATTGTTTCATTTGAGGTAACAAAGTAAAAGACTAATGTTTTGATTGTTTCGTCATAACGAAGTCATGTAGTCATGTGCATGACATGCTGATCACAATAGAAGTTATATTTAAAGTTAATTTTTACTTCCGCTTGTATGACAAAATCTTTTATTCTTTACATTTTTTTACAATGTCTTCAAAATTTTGGGCAGAGTTATCTAATGATTATGAAAAACTTTTTGAAACTGAAATAGGATATGATGTTGTTATTTATGCTGGAGAAGAACCGAATGTTAAAGAAATCCATGCTCATTCAAATATTTTGTGCATTAGGTCTAAATATTTTCGTAATGCATTTTCTAATGCATGGGCAGAAAAAAATGATGGAAAATTTATTTTAAGGAAACCAAATATTTCGCCTTATTTATTTAATATTATTCTCATGTAACAAGTTAATATCATACTATGTTATTAAGTTCTAAAAATACAAATTAATAATTATTGAATTATATTTTAAGGTTTATTTATTGTGGAAACATTGAACTGAAAAATTTACAAGGATCAGATGTATTAAAATTATTGATAGCTGTAGATGAACTCAATATTAAACAATTAATTTCTCATATTCAAGAATATTTAATTGAACATCAAACTGAATTTTTATATCAAAACGCAACTGGTATTCTTGAAACTGTTTATCAGCATGAGACATTAACAGATTTATGGAATTTTTGTCTTGAAAAAATTTGTAAAGAACCTAAAATTTTATTTGATTCTGATAAATTTATTAATTTAAAAGCACCTTTATTAGAATTATTATTAAAAAGAGATAATTTAAATATGAAAGAAATTGAAATTTGGGAAGGTTTATTGAAATGGTGCTTGTTTCAACAAAATATGGAAAATAATCCAACTAAATGGAGTAATGATGATGTTATAAGGATTAAGAGGTCATTATATAGGTTTATTCCATTAATTAGATTTTACGATATTGAACCTACAGACTTCTTTTACAAAGTTTATATTTACAAAGAAATCTTACAAAAAGATTTAATTCATGATCTTTTAGAGTTTCATATTGTTCCTAATATTAAACCTAAAACTAATATAGCACCTCCAAGAAACCCAAATTTAAATTTTATAATTGATTCAACTCTAACTCAATCAAACCATATTCCTCTTTTTGCTTCATGGATTGATAAAAAAGGTTCTTCGTATTACAATAATAAAAACATTCCCTATGATTTTAAATTATTATATCATTCAGGTCGAGATGGATTTAATGCTGAATCATTCCATCAAAATTGTGATAATAAAGGAGCCACTATTTGGGTAGCAAAGATTCAAGAATTAATTGGAGGATATAATCCACTTGATTGGAATGGAAATGGTATTTGGAAATCTACTACAGATAGTTTTATGTTTAGTTTTACAGATGGAAAAAATATTTCTACTGCAAAATTAGGTTACGTTGAAAAACCAGATAATGCTATTTATTGTGCTAATAATCAAGGTCCACACATGGGTTATTTTTACTGTAAAGGCGATAATAAATGGATAAATTATAGTAATTCTACTAACTATCCTGATATAGGTACTATTCCAACTCAGCTTTCAGTAGATTATTATAAAGTATTTCAAATAATTAAAAAATAGAAATAAATTTCAAACATTCAGTATTGTTCGTTATATAAATAAACGAAATTACTTGGCACTTGGCAATTATGCTAATAAATCAATTTATAATAAAAATTAATATTTAAAGTGTATCAATTATAGTTTTGTAATGACTTTATGTAGAATAATAGTTTGAAAAAGAGATTCGTTGCAAAAGTCTATTGAATTCATTATTTGTTATTTTGTCATAACCGAAATATAAAAAAATAAAATTATAAAATTGAGAATTTAGTGAATATACTCTCATAAATAAAATGATGCATTTATCAAACTTCGGATTTATTTATTTTCTTAGTTTCTTTTTATCA